TTTTCCTGCAAGTTAAAAGGAGCTGCTTTGACAAAGCACACCCAGGACCCAGGTGTCTCTTGCTGTGGCATCCTGAGCTGGTGGAGGGTGGAAGGACCCTTTCCTGACCAGCAAATGCAGCTGCACCCTCTGCCCCTCCATCCACCCGCCCTTGTGGGCTCCATGTAGAAAGTCCTACTCTTCAGATGAAAATCTCTGCCCTGTACCTTTATTTCAAGGGACAGCATCTGCTCGGTAGCAGGTGGATTAAAAGCAATTAAGAAATCCCCTGCTTTTAACTTAGACGAGAGCACAGTGTTTCCAGGTTTACCCTGGTGTTGGTTACAGCTGTCGTGCAGCCAGCTCGGCCGGTGCCGACACGGACGCAGAGCTGAAGGCGGCTGATGAAGTGTCTTCATCATAGTTTGCTGAGTGCCTTGTCTCTATTTTCGTGATTTATTACTTCCCCGACTTTCTTAGGTGTTGGGAGGAACAATGAATCAATCCAAGTGTTTTCAGAGCGGGGACTGCTAATTGTGTGAGCTCTGTTTACTGCTCGAAAGCTCCAGCTTTGACAGGGCTCTTGACCGCGTGTTAATACGTGTGATTAATTGTTGTTACGGGCATCCGCAGAAACGGACCCGGTAGGTAATACTTCAGAGCTATTATTTCTTTTTGAACAAGCAATAAATGTAATTATGTACACAGTCTGTTACAAGCGTAACAGGCGGGGAAGGAAGGTGCTTTGGCGGAGTGTGGGTAAACCATCGCTCCCCGGTGATGGGGACCTGAGGGCACAGGCTGAAACGATGGGGCGGCGGGTTCCAGGCAGCTCCTTCTCTTGACTCCTTGGTGGTTTCACAGCAGCTCTTCCTCTCCTGAGTACGTGGCTACCGAGGACGGCAAAGCTGTTCCAGGGCAGAGGGTGCTGCGTCACCTGGCGCACGAGGGAGGGGCGGAGCGGGCAGGCCATGAGGTTATCGGTTCACAAACAAACTCTGATGCTGGGGCCCAGGGGACCTGTGGGCACTCGTCTTGGAGGTTTGCCCTGCTCTGCCACGCTTCGCCTCGGCCGCCTGCTGAGGAGCTGCCTCTGCTCTGACTGGAGTTGGCATTTGTTCCCCCGGAGCAGGGCTCCTCCCTCCCCACAGAGGCAAACCTTCCCCATGTGTGGGTACCTGCTGACCCGGAGAGACTCGGGGTGATGCCAGGAGATGTCCCCAGGCTCACCCACCCCTTGTCCTACACCACTCTCGGCTTGTTGCGGGTCCTCGGTTTGTCTGTGGGCTCAAAAGCAAGACCAGGGTGGGTTAAGGCTCACACGTCATCCCTGGGGACACCACAGAGGTATCCAGAGTGGGGGTGCCCATGGTGAGAAGCTGCCTGGGGACCCCCACCATGTGTGACATGAAGTGGCAGGGACCGGCCCTGGGAAGCAGAGGAGTCGGTGACAAAGGAAGAGTAATCAGCAGCCGCCACACGTCCGTATGAAGCAGCTCTCTGCTCATTTTAAAATATCAGGTAACAGATGCAATCAGAATGGCTGCGCCATGCAACGGCCTTATAAAACAGTAGAAGAAATAAATACGGGCTTAATTGCCCACTCCACTAAAATAGCTTCATCCTGCCTAACTTCATTATTTCCAGAAAATTTGGCCCAGGCCATTACGGTGGGAGGCAGAGTTTGGAGGAGGCTGTGAGATCCCCGCTGCAGCCAGGCGGGTCAGTACCCGGCGCAGACGAGGGTATTTCTGGCTGCCCAAAGCCCCCTGTGTGCCCGTGCTGCTGGAACCCAACCGTCACCCCTTCGGGGCCCCGGTGTCTCGGTGGAAGGGCAGCACTGCCCACCTGAAATGGAAACCCAAAGGGACAGAGACAAGCCTCTGCAGGACCCACTGCGCCCAGCCGGGGGGCCGGGGGCTCCGGGCCGTGCAGAGGGGCAGGTGGGGGCACCAGCCCCGCGCCAGCATCGCCTGCGGCCCCATGCACCCGCAGGCTGGGTCCCTGCTGCGGCATCCCCAGCCACCCCCAACCGAGGGGGCCCTTGGGGGAAGGTACCCAGGACCCTCTGTGACCCCTTCCCCTCTGCTCCAGTGGCCTCTGTGCAAAGCTTCGTGCCACCAACCCCAATAGCCTCTAATATTCCCAACTTTCAGCCATCAGGGAGCGGGGCCGCCCGGCCCGGGCTCAGACCGCGGCGGGGAACAGGGTGTTGGGGCTGGGCTGGCGGGAGGGTGCCTCAGTGCCCCTTCGGCCCTCCCCGCCTTCCCGGGGTACTGGGCAGCTCAGGGGGTGGCACAGAGCATTTTCCTTCCCTGATTTTGCAGTTTAACGCTACCATGAGCCATAGCATCATGTTTATAACATCCAGCCCTTCCCCATCTGCCCTCCCCAGGCTGCTCATCCCGTCCAGAAGCAGAAAGTGACAGAAGAGAAATGTAATGAGAGTAAGCGAAAGGGCCAACCTGCCGGGGTCCTTGTTTCCAGGCTGTCCCCATCCCCTGAGGCTCGCCGTGCCGCGCCGCTCCCGGGACAACCAGGGAGGGAGCAGCCACGGTACCGGGTTCGCTCTGAGCACGCGAGCGGCTTCTCCTCCGGAGCGGGAAGGGATCTGCCTGCCAACCGGCCCCCATCGCGCCGACAGGAGCAAACGGCACGAGTGTGAGGGCGCGCGGAGCGCTGGCCCGTGGCAGGGAGGGAGGTTAATTACTCGGCTCAGCTTTAGCCCACTGTGCTCTAGAGAGGGAATACACTTCACCGGGCCAGAGCAGGGGAACAAAGCCAAGCGGTTTGTGGAAAAGAAAAACCTGTTCCTTTAATCTGTTTGAAAGCTTCTGGTACATCAAAGTCCTGGCAAGAAGTGATATCCCTGATATAATTGGTGTGGACACTTGCAGAGGTTTTGCTAAAGGCCTTCGTGAAAGAGCTTTATGTGGGAGGCAAAGGAGGGTCATGGGTTAGGCACTAGCCAAGAAACAGAAACTCCCAAAGCAGGGCGAGGACCGGGCAAACGTCAGACGGCTCCGTGCCCCAGCCAGCAGCACCCCCAGCCCCGGGGCTCTCACCCCACACAGCGGACGAGGTGCCCCCGACAGCAAAGCCCAACGGGGGTGACGAGGGTCACCAAGGGCACCACCAAACCCAGGGAACGGGCCAGAGCAGGGGAGAAGGATCCCCCCATGGGCACAGCCTGGTAGGAAGGGGGCGATGGTTGTGAAAACCAGGGAAGAGCAGCTCAGCTGTCACCTCTCAAAGGGAAAACCCGGCTGGGGCCATGGGCAGCTCACACAGTCCTCCACGGGGGGGTTGCAAGTATGTATTATTATTACCCCAAAATATCCCACACAACTGAAGAACAGCACTGGATAACGATCAGGAGAGAAAGTACGAGGGCACTGTCTCCAAATGCTCGGAGAGGAAGGAAGAGGAGGGTCCTCTCCTGGCATCGCTGCTTCCCACCAACCCCCAAAGGACATGCCGAAAGGAGAGGAGGGATGGGAAGGTAAGAGGGTTGGAAATAGAGTCTAGCTAGAATTGAAATGATTTTAATTTCTAGACAAAGTGAGTAAAAAGCAACATAATGGCAGTATAGAAAATAACAAATGGCACAACGAAGGTACATATAAGTACTCCTATTTACACTTTTCACATAAAAAGGGAACAAAGGGACAGTCAATAAACCCGAACAGCAGCACACGAAGAGGGATAAGTGAAATGGTGTTGTTCTAATGCACTGTGCATAATCACCCGGGAGCTCACTGTTCCAAAATATCGCTGAAATCACAGATGCAGAGAGACGTGCAAGAAAGGGATGGGAACGTACCTGAAAGAAAAGAACATTTGCAGTTATATTCACTATATGTGAATTACATTAGCAGTGAGCGATAATATGGGTTTTTAAGGGAGAAATTCTCATACAAACAAGAATAAATGGGAGGGGGGCAAAGATCCCCATGGGCAGATTATTCCAAAAATTGCCTTCTAAGGAATGTCTCGTTCCTCTTTCCTCTGAAGCATTTACATCGGCTGCTGGCAGCAGTCAGTGACGGGAGGAGATGAACTGCTCCTTCTCCCCTCCGGGTCCCTCCTGCAGCAAGGCCCGAGCAGGCGCCCACCCGCTCCGTCTGGTTGTCACCTCCCTCCCTCCCCGCAGCCCCGGCCAGCGGGGCACTCGGCAGGGCCAGCCAGCGTGGTGCTGCCACCGGCCGCGCTCCCTGCAGCAACCTCCTTGAAGACCATCGTAGTTTTGGAGTCTCTGGCTTCAGGGGCTACCAAACGGCATCATCTGGAAGCCCAGCCCCGGGGCTGGGGAGGCTGCGGTGGGCGGGGGCTGCCTGGGGAGAGGCAGCTGCTCTGGCGGGTGCCGAGTCCCAGCCTGCTCGTGCCTCGTAGCCAAGGAACATTTCACATCCTCAGCCGTATGCGACTGAGAGAGGTAAAAATAATCTTGTCTTATTTTTTTTTTTTTTTTCTGGCGGTGGGTTTGGGATCAGTTCTCAAGCCCCTGCCTGGGCTGGGACCGAGACCCCCGCACACCGGCGGAGCTGCAGGGGGGCGTGGGGGCAGCGCCGCAGCAGTGGCCATCCCGGCCGCTCCCGGCACGGGCCCTGCCCTGCCGGGAGTCTCAGGCAGCACGACCCCGGGGTTCAGCTCAGCTGCCTGGGGCCTCTCGGCAGGTCCGGGAGCGGGCACACACCAGAGGGGCCCCGTGAGGTGGCCCCTGCTCCGTCCCCGCTGCCGTGCGCGTCTCTCGCCCCGCTGACGCCACCACGGAGCTCCCAGAAGCGGGTGCCCGAACCCCACCTCGGGGTGAGCCCTTCCCCTTGGCAGCCGGGAGCTCCCCGAGGACACAAGGATCACAACGACATTTAATCACTCCTGGCTGGGCCCAAAGTCAAACCAGTAATCTCATCAGTGGCTGCATGTCCCGTTAACGGGTCTTAACAAACAGTCCCCGTGGGATTTATTTAACACACCACTGCCGAGCATTAGGGGTGGGTTTCGTGGTGGTTTTTTGCTTTTTACATACAATCACATATCGCCTTACCGTATGAAAACACAGCTATGTTTTTTCTTCTTCTTTTTCTTTTTTTTTTAAGGGAAATGTCGTCCTTTTTTTCACAGGCGAGGCCAGGTTACAAATTCCTGAGTTTATACTGCACTTAACACAGTCTCCCTTCTCGAATGTTGAGCTGTTTACAGCACGCCGGCAATATGCACCATTTCCCCTACCATCTGTAATGCCAGATGTAGTAAAACTTCATTTCCGTACAGTGAATTAGGGCCTCTACTGCATTGGGCTTGAATAGATGCAAAGACTTAGACCTGGAGGACTCGAAGTAATAACTTTTCTCCTGTGACCGGCCCTTCCTGCGCCATCTCTTGTATTTGCCACGTTAATTAAGGGAAAAAAATCTTTACCATCATTTTTCTTTTACCAAGAGCTCACTGGGAAACATCTGAAATGAGGAAATCCTAGTCTAAACACTTAAGTTTAAACTGCAAACTTTCTTAAAGAAACACTCCTTTGAAAGACATTGTTCTTTTAATGTCCAATATAATGTACGGTATATACAAAAGTCCCTACTTGAGAGATATATATGTATATGTATATATATATGTGGAATGCATTCACTTTCTGCGTTCACAAATATTTTAATGGTGAAATGTTAAAGTCTTTAATCTGTTTCTGGCACCAAAATGTCTTTGTTCCTCATCCACTTTTGTCACTCAAAATTTATCTGCGAAGAACTAGCAGGGAAAAAAGAAGAAGGTTTTTGTTGAATGGTTCCCTACTGGGATTCTCAGCCAGCAATATAAAGTTGCTAATGTGTTGGGTACAACTTTAGATCCTCATTATAATCATGTGTTCCTCGGAGTAGGTAAGTCAATAACTATAGGTGGATTAAGTGGCTGGTAATTCACAGTGCACACAGATGCATTCACGTAGGTAGTAGTTCCATCAGCCATGACACCATAACCTACAAAGAAAGAAAAATTCTCTTTACTCTCATTATTCACTATTATCTTTTTTTTAATCATTCACCTTTATCACACAACGGTGAGTTCCACATTTATTACTCAGACGGAATTTAAAAATCCTCTCCATGCAAAACACGGTCTCCTGAACTAGTAACACCACCTTTGTCCTGCAGCAGAACCTTTTGCCATCTTCTGAATTCCGTAAGAAAAGCAAAATGGACCCTCACCAGCCAGTGGCTTTCATCTCTGGCAGCGAACTCGCCAAACCTCCCTGCAAAGACAGCTGGTTTCCTCTGCAAAGCTTTTTTCTCAAAACCTTCTCCGTTTCAGAAAGGATGAGAAGATGGAGCTTAGATAATCGCAGCATTGAAAAATAAATATTTCTTATCATTTCAGTTTGCAGTCATCAGCACAGCAAAATCTGGGCAATTTTCATCTTTCCACCTCTTCTTCTGTCCTTTATTGTACATCTTTTAGCCAACCAGTAAGAAAAAGAATTGCTTGGCCAAGGGGAGGGTGTGCACCTGGGCAGGACCTGTCTAGTAGGAACCTCTTCTTCCTCTGTGGTTGAACATGTTAACCAGTTCCCCCCAGTTTGATGGGAAGATGCTAAAATGCCTGCCCGGGCAGATTAAAAAATGGGTTTATTAATGCATTCTCTGACAGACGAGGTGAGTTCACAGCCTAAGACACCACAGCATTTCCTTGGGAGAAAACACCCTGCTGTATGTCTCACCAGTGGCGAAAAGCTTTAACTACAATCTCATGTCTGACCAGACACCAGGGCCACACAATTCCAGAGGTAAATGGGCAGAAACTGCAGCTCCCAGCCCTGCTGCTGCAGAGATACAGCGAGATGCTGCAGCAGCACCTTAACTGCTCGGGCGTTATGGAAAAGGAGACACACCACATTGTCAAAAATCTCCCCATGAATGACTAGGAAAAAACATAAGCTTCATTACGCTAAAGCCGAATGTTGGCAACTTGCACTGGAATATTACAATCAGTATGAAGAAATGGATATACGATGAGAAATGCATGGTTTGGGGGAAGTCACCTGGCAGGAAGCATTGTACTAAGATTCAGTCTCACCATTAATGAAGTGAATAGTGAAACATATCCCCTGCTGCCTACACTCAGTCCCAGCTATCCAAACCCTAGGTACCTCGGGTCCTACAGTTTTTCTGAGTGAAATTTTGTGTCTTACAGAAGCATTGGTAGTTGCATAATTTACAAACAAAGAAATGGTAGCCAAATTCCTTTCTTTTTTGTTCCTTAAAATACCCTGAATAATGCAAGGTCTCCTGGACTCCCCATGGAAAAAAGCACATTATAATTAGAGACTAGGGAGGGAAGAAAACTCTTGTCAGGTTCCTGTCACAGACATTTCTTTCCATCACTCGCTGCCTGCCACAGAACAATTGCTCTGTGTAAAACACAGACTGCGCGGGGACGGGCAGCGCTGCTGCCGGGACTTCCCGGCTCCTCGGCGACACCTTGGGAGGAACAGAAGCAGCTTGCTGATACACTCTTTTTGCTGGAACATTCCGAATGCTACAGTTTTCACTCCTACCCTGCTGCCAATAGTTTCCTTGGCCGTGACCTCAACCAAGTCCTGGCTGTAAGGGGAAGCCAGGGTTGCAGGGGGGCCCTGCCACTCTGCCTGTCCCCGGGGTCCAGCAGCAGCGACGTGGGGAGGGACTTTTGGGCAGCGACAGCAGTGCAGAGAGGGAACAGGGAAGCAGCGTCTCTTCTAAGCATCTCTTCCTCCTGAATGTTCAGTAAATGACTGCTGCAGACGTAGCCAGGCTCAGTCAGGGGAAGAACTCATCTGTTCACATCATGCATTCTCTCTACAAAGAGCAGCGTCGTCTGCACAGGCTGTCTGCGATGGGAATTCTCCTCTGCAGAGACTCAGCCTCCCACTGCAGAACAGGCGAGGCAGTTCCCCATTTGTTTTCTCTAAATTATGATCGTTAACAAAGAGTACCTTGTCTCTGTGTGCTGATGCCTACTGTGCCAACTATATTAATTCACAAGATTTACCATTCGGTGGAGGTGCCACTCTTTGCCCTTGGGAGCCAAAGTTGGGCTCGGTTTTAGCAGATGTGATTTTGTTTACCTGCCTGCAGCTTCATGGCTTGCTAACTGTTTGCTTATATCCCCTGCAACCCACCTGGCTTACCACTTCTGAAAAGACAATGAGTTTGAGCTGTATTCACCTGCTCTCTCGTACGGAATCTCCAAGACTGCTCCAACAGGTGATGAAAAAATACTGCCTACGTGTTGCTTGTTTCCTCTGTGATTTCGCAGCACTTTGGACATTAACCAGGCATTAATGGGTCACCGCAGATGAGACACAGGAGGAGAAGGGGCTTAGTCCCTGAGCCGTAAAATAACCTGAATGTCGTCCCCATCAGTTTTGCACCAGCACACCTCTCGGCAGTGTCACTTCTCACTTAGCACGGTGAAAGCCCCAGCAGCAAGTCAGAGAGGGGGATTTCTTGGGAAGGGTAACGGATCTTCACGGAAACCCCAAAGCCAGCTACGGCGGTTTTTCCACTTGTTCGTTTTGACACTGGTGAGACCCATGGAGACCCCACCTCAGAGGCTGGAGCAGTCCCAGAAGCAGAGGACTGGCGGCTGTGGAGCACCTTTCCCTGCCAGTGAGCGCACGATGCCAAGAAGCTGGTACCACAGGCGTGGTACCACGTTCCGAGGGGCACACGTCTACAGCCCTGAGGTTCTCTTGGTGGGGCTGCGGCTTGAAGCCTTGCTGCCACAACACGTGAACAGCACAGACCTCTCCACGGCAGGCAGCTTCTACCCCTCCCTTTGCCTGGAGATGAACTCAGCAGAGTACGATTGTCACCATTTACTGACTTATGTGAAGGGAACTCATCTTTTTCCAGTTAAAAATCAAATAGGCAAGAGAACCACTTTGTTTTGTCTGGGTGCAAAATGTTTCCCCTACCAAAGCAAATAAATACATGAACAAGTATCCTGAACTTCTACACAAGTCAGTGGTGACATCCCTCTTGATTTCAACTTCACATATGCACTGATGGGGGGAGACAACCTTTATTGTACAATCTTGAAGATTAAGCCTTAGAAGCACCCCCCAAAGCATTCCGACCCATTTTACCAACGCAGAAACAGACACAGAGAGCTTACAGGAATTATCTTAAGTCACAGAGATTCAGCAGAGGAAAATACCATCCACCAATCCTAATATTTTCTGTAACTACCGGACTTGTGTTCTTATTTTAAAATTCACAGTAATCCTCTCTGTGAAGGAGGCATCACCCCGTTTTATAGATGTAGAAGCTGAAAGAGAAGCGGTAGCACAAATATTTAAATGTATCAGCCAACTCCATCCCTATATATGCAGTTACGCAAGTATCTGAATTCCAGACGTGCTTCAGCTCAGACGTCCAAGTTTGAAAATGCTCAGTTAAACCAGACAACTTCTGTGTTTGTGGTTTCTAAATATAGATAGAAGGAAACATGTTCTGACCTTCATGGATATGTCCAAAAACGTGAAGCCTTGGCTGTATTCGTCTCTGGACTGTGTTCAGCAGCTCAACACATCCTACCCGTTGCATTTTCTTAGGAACCCAGTCTAGAAAACCTTTGGAAAAGAAAGGAAAGCTTTGAAAGAAGACAGGTTATCTGCAGAGCTGTCCTGCTGCACAGCACTTCCAGGATTTCACGTCTCATGGCTTTTCATAAGCCGTCACCAAAGGACTGATGTGGAAAAAACGGTGTTTGCCTTGGTGAGGAGAAGAGGAAGGAAGGAAAAATACTTGAGGAAAACTGTAAAAGCTCATATGAAGAAAAAGCACTATGATAACTCTTGCTAGTTATTTTTCAAGAAAAGAAAATCACTGCAATTAAAGCATTTTTCCACTGCTGTTAATGGGAAAATGTAATGCTTTATCCATCCCTCCTCCTTTAAGAGAGGGAGGTGTAAAGAGCAGCATGTCCAAAGCGAGTCTCTAAAGAATCTAAATCAACATTTAGCTATTCAAATCTACTCCTGGGATCTAATTTTTTTAATTGAACACTTTAACTGACGTAATGGAATCCGTGTCGCTAATAATAAAACTATACTGAATCCGACAGTGGCGGAACCCAGGTGAGGGACCCACAGCTTATGCCTAAACCCAACACCCTTGAGCGAACTCCACGACACAGCGAGCCCCCAGACGGGAAGAGCAGCTCAGCCCTTCTGCAGCAGATGTTTTCAAGTGCTGTATTTATTTACACGGTTTGTATAAAAATGCATTTTTTATCAATACAGACAAAAATGTACACCAATTTGCTTATAGGTGTCTAAAAACATCCTGCAGGGGGATGAAGCCTCGCGTCTCTCTCGAAGCAGCAGTATAAGGATGCTGCTGTATTAGAGGGGTTGCAGTAACTGATCTTGTGTTCATCACGCTCGAATTTGAAAACCTAAAAGATGCAACCCTTCTGTTCTCCTTTCTTTGCTCTGGTACTTTCCCCGGGTGCCTGTCATAGCTTTGTATCTCTCAGGCTGCTGCAACAGCGTATCTTGTGCCTTTGAGAAAAGGGGAGTTAGGCAGAGAGGTACAGAGGCTGGACCTGGTTTTCATACGTTTACTTTTGACGTCCGCTCAAGCATGGCTCGACAGCAGCCAACCAATTGGCTTAAAAGACCAGAACTGTGGTGTTCAGGCTCTTGGAAAAGCTCTCCGATTTGCTAGAGCTTCAGGGTAGGTTCACACATTGAGAAATGCACCTCTTCAGATGCCAGTGCCCCAAAACTGGGCTCAGTGTGCTGTGGGGGTTGATGAAAATGGTAAAAATCTGCCTCGTATCACAGTTTCTCAGAGAGCTATGTCCAGTTTTCAGAGATGAGTTGGGAATGCAGCGTCCTACGTGTCAAAAAGAGGAAGTTCTGGTAACGGGCACGGGCTCTAATTCATTCAGATGCCTCAGAAGACGCTGGCTGGATCCTGTCGGGGGGATGTACAAAGAGAAACCTCACTGAATTACAGACAGAGCAGGGCTCCGTTCTGGTAACTGATTTTATCAGTCACTCTTGGTATGCAACGCAGGTCGAAATTTGCTGTAGGAAATAAGTATCTGAGATACCAAAGTGAGGCCAGCACCTCCTCGGGAATCCAGAGCAAGCGCGCTGTAACCACAGGCTTCGTTACCTCAATGATTTGAAAGAGTTAATTGTCAAAATGTCTGTGGTGAACAGAAAGCCAAAAGTATTTCCACTTCAAAAACTTCACAAACAAAAATCCATAAAATTAACTTCTCCATTAAATTAAGCATTATTTATGTTGAACATGTTTTTGTTTACATGCATTATCACCCTTCTGAAGCTTTCCCATATGTTTGCAGCTTATTATGTACACCTGACTACACAAACTAAGAATAATTGATTACACCTAGCTAACAATTAGAGTTCATCTTAGGGTTTTTTTAATGTTTGGTTACTTGAAACAGGTTTCTGCAGCTGTCAGGGAAGTATAAATCTTTGTCACAGACAATCAAGCAGACAGCTACAAATGAAGACTTAAAGGTGAAATTAAATTAAAAACAAACACAGAAAAGTGAACTTTTTGAAGATGAATAAAAGAATCATAAATGCAGATCCTTAGGGATCAGGGAAAAGACTTGCAAAGTTATGCTATACCTAACAGTAACAAAAATATGCTGATATAGAAATGAGCCTTAGCACCGCTCCCACCATTGTGACTATTGTATTCCATAAGCTATGACATATATGATGCATCTTTATTAATAATGAACAGGTTACTAATGAAATGGTCAGTAACAGCTTTTTTAACTTTGTTTTCTCATCCTGTGTGAACCTCCTGTGTATCCCTGCCCTGGGTCCATCCCAAAGCACTAGTCTAAAAAATCACAGAATACAGAAAAACTCCTCAGATTTTCGTTACGTGCCTAACTTGACTTAGAAAAACAAAGTCCATTAACTCTTATGGGCACTTCTGCATCTAAATCATGCAGGCAATTTTAAATCTATCTAACAACGTAGTATTAATTATTTTAGGAGGATGCGTGCTCCTCTGAAGTGAGGGAATGAGAAGGCAGCACAGCAAATGGATGATGGACAGGATTTAGGCAGCCGTGCTGGAGAAAAAAGAGGAATTTGCAAGAGCTCTGATTGCTATTTATGATCATTAGGAACAGCTCTAGTGGTGCTGTCCAAGATCAGAACAACAGTAATCAGCCTTCTGGTTAAAGTAATTGGCTGGGAGGGTCAAGGAGGATCCTGTCTCCCAAAATGTCTGCGGACAGAGCGATGCCATAAGGAGGTTCTGCGAGTGGAGCAGAGTGCTCGTTCCTTTTGAAGCATCACGGATTCGTGGCCCTGGGTGTCAGGGAGGCCATAGCTGACGCCTCAGGCAGAGGGTCCTATGCCCGAGCCACCTACTAATGCATCAGTAAGAAAAAGACAAAGAAATGGGAACTTTTAAAACAGAAAATCACTGGAGGACAGTTGAAGCTTGAGAATTAAAAAAAAAAGAGAACAGACGCTGAGACATGGGGACAGGGAGAATTCGCGTTATCCCATCACAGTCAGCGGAGAGGGGCGGCTCGTCCTCGGAATTACTACAATTACTGAATTACTTCTCAATTATTAAATTCACTATGAAATTTATTCCCGCAGCGCGCCTGTCGCGTGCTGGCTGTGCAGGGCTCCCCAGGGGTTCCCCTCGCTGTGCCGCTCCCAGAGCTGCCTGCGGGGCCCGCGGCCGCGTCCCCGGGGGCTGGGGCTGGGGGGAGCAGCCCCCTTCCTCCACTTCGCAGCGCTGGGTTTCCAGCGCTGGGCACAGGGATGTGCTTTGGATCGGCTGAGGTACAGCTGATCTTAAAAATGGCTATAAAAGTGCTGAAAAACCTTCTGAAAAAGTTTTACGTGCGGCTTGCACACAAAGCGGTGTCAAAGACCTGGCGCCGAGCCTTGGAGCCCAACGGGGACGATGCCCAGTACCAACCGTCGGGAGCCGGTATCTCGAGGTCTAAACAATTCATTCCTGCCATCCACTTTTAGGATGCAGGTTCATATTAAAACCTCTGTGGCAGGGCATGAGACTCCACTGAGGTGAAGTATCAGAACAGAGGTCCTCCCTGTGAGAAACCCTCTGCCCAGGGTTAGTGAGCCGCGGAACGCAAACAGGTCTTCCTAAGGAAAACAACAAAACACAAACCCTTCAGACACTTTCTCCTCCGAGGTCTGAAAGAGAGGAAGAACGGGTGGAAGACAAGAGGGTTTTAGCTTCAGGGAATTGGGGACGCCGAGGGTTTAAAGCAACCACGTCCTTCATTTCGCACAAAGCGCTCCCCCACGCTGAGCCTCGGCTCAGCACCTCAGAACGTGCTTCACGTTGGTGTCTGCTTATTAAATTAGTGAGAGCTAAACACACCGCTGATTAAACATAGCTTGCTGTGTGTTAAATGCGTCGAAAAACATGTTAAAAGCCTTAAGCCTTTACTGAATCTGGACAAGTTTCGGTGACTGTATTATTACTCTAACACAGGTAATTTTGCTGCTATCCAGGAATACAAGAAATCTCTCCTGGCTTTTTTATCACCTTTATTAATATTAGTAAAACACAAACCTATTTCTTGTTGGTCTGTTAGTGTTGCCAGATTGGATTAGGGAGAGGCAATTCACCCACGCTGCCCAAAGAACCGGCAAACCATGGCAGCATTTGGGTTTGTGAGGCAGAGGCTGCACCAGCGTGATGAGGAGAAATACAGAGCCCAGGCACTTGGTGGAGGAGGAATGCTACTGCACGGAAGGGAGAAAGGGCTAAAAAGGGAAGATCCCATCCCGCATTTCTCTTCAAGCTGGCCCCATGCTTTAAATCTACTCACTTCACCAGCGGCAGAGTGGACAGCTGCACAGGAAGACCAGACCTCGCTTATTTATGAAGCTCATGAAGGCTTTATGCATTAAGGCTTTATTTTTTAAGCTGTTATTTAATTCCCTAGCATAGAGCACAGGTAACCATGAAACATAAACGTGAGCTGAAGTCCTGGTGCTGCTGAAACCAGTAGGGATGTTCCTTTTGCCCTCTGAAAGTCAGGATTGCACTCTTTGTCCAAGGAGAGCCATCGGTTACGGTAATCATCTGAAACACACAGCTAAGAGCACTAGTATTTTCTTACCGAGAGGTGGTCCGTGTGTTATAAGAATATCTATTCCATCTGGAATAAGGTTCCATTTCTCTAATAGTGCTTGGCCTCGTGGAAGATTAAAGCCCCAGCCATAAAACCAAGGTTGCCTGCCAAGAGAGGAGGAGAATGTCTTCAGTGCCACTTCCATGTACTGGTTATCTAATTAAAATACGGAGATTGATCTCTACGAGCACGGAACCTGGAGACACAAACAGCATATTCATTTTCTTCCTTGCGTGCACAGTAAAACCCTCTTTCCATACAACCAGTGTTACTTGTGTGGCAAACCAGCGCAGTCCTTACCACTTCCAGTAGGCAGCGTACAGTAAAACCCCCCAGCACTCCCCTAACTAGGGGAAGAGTGACTCTCACAGGACCTGCATCCCAAGATCCCCAGGTGCGGATTAGCACGCTGGGCTCCCGGCACACCTCTGGGGTACCCAGGTGTGGGCCGATGGCTCACGCTGGCTCCCGTCACGTCTGGCCCGCAGCCTGTGACCAGCTGGGCAAGGACAGATCCTGGCACAGCGACAGAGCCCGCTCCCAAGTTGGACACGTCCTCTATGCTGCTTTGTTTCCCTAATTGGAAGTATCCCACCAGAACAAGAATACTGCTTCTTTTCTTACACGGGATTTTCTTCTGTCCTCTGGTGCGCTTTAAGTAAGCCTTCCCATATTCAGGATTTCTTATCAGATGGGCATTTATATTTTTTAAAACAAGCTCATCACGGAGCAGTGGGACTGCAGCACTGCCAGTCAGAACACAATTTAGCCGTATCTTGCTATCCCATTGATTAAAAAACTGTATTTCACAGCAATTGTATCACAGTGGTAAATTATGTCTTGCTGACTATGCTCTAATTCTAGGTCATAAAACTGAAGGGTTAGTTTTAGGTTGGAATTTTTTTATCATTTTTTGACTGAAGTCTTCTGGCCATACCCATATTAGGAGAATAACAAATAGGCTGCTGTGATTTAATAAGGTTTATGATAATTGCAGCCTTGGTGTTTATAAATACACACACATCAACCATAGTTCCCTTTGAGATGTTACTTTGTGGAAGAAAGCTTTACACTCCCTCACCGCATCAAAAGACAGAAAGAATTCTTTCAAACACATTCTCTGAACCCCACTTTACATCATGTATGGCAAAGACAAAAGAAAATGCCCATAAAGCTATTATTCATCCTCTTCCATTACTGATGCTTGACTAACATTTCAAAAATTCGCACGTCTTCATGATGATATATTTTCCACTTTTCCTTTTGGAATGCTGTAAAGCACATGCCTATTGAAAACAGTTTTAAAAATACACAGCTTGCGAAAATATAAAGGGATGTGGCTTACCCAGGGGGAGAAAATAAAATTCTGGGAAAAGGGAAGGAAGAAGGGGGCTTTGCAGAAGGCTTCCCACTCTCCTTCCACAGAGAAAAAGAGCCTCAACTATTCTAGGCAGATGACTCTAAGGCTTTGTGTCCACAGCTAAGAGCTCACCTCCTAGCTCGTCACCACACACCCTGGAAAACCAAGGTCTGGATAAACAGGTGTCCCAGGCTAAAAAAAAAAAAAAAAAAAAAAAAAAAAAAAAAAGGTGAAACTTTGTACATCTGCCATTGGGACCAGAAATATATCCCAGCCTCCAGAAGCTGTGGTGAGGGAGCTGAGGAGGGTGTGTGGAGAAGAGATGCTAATAGTAGTGATGAGGGGGAAACCTTGTTCTGGTCAGGCTGCTGAGGCCAGGGCAGCTGGCTAAGAAACATGTTAGGGATAAAAAATCACACTTTTGTGGTTAGCTCTTCATCTCCCAGGAGCCCTCCCTCACAGGAAGAGCAGCACCTGGCTCACAGGTATGAGACTTCTCACCCTCCTACTGCCGGGGTGGTAACTCACGGGGCAGCGAGGAGGCGGAGGGCGACCCTGCTGCTCTCTACAACTGTGTGAAAGGGGGTTGCAGCCAGGTGGGTGTCGGTCTCTTCTCCCAAGTAACAAGTGACAGGACAAGAGGAAACAGCCACAAGTTGCACCAGGGGAGGTTTAGATTGGACAGTCGGAGAATTTTCTTCACCAGAAGAGCAGGCTGCCCAGGGAAGTGGTGGAGTCCCCATCCCTGGAGGTGTTTCAGAGCGTGTGGACGTGGCGCTTAGGGACAGGGTTTGGTGGTGGACTTGGCAGTGTGAGGTTGGCAGTTGGACTTGACCATCTTAAAGGTGTTTCCAACCTAAAGGATTCTAGTTCCTGGGTTATCCTGCAGTAAGCTACCAGTCACACGGAGCCAAATCCCAGTCTGTGGAGCCCGACCAGCCTGTCTCTACGTTCCGCTCACCATCAACAGAACGGGAGTATTTTTAGCTCGCAGGAATGCCCTGAAAAGAAACAAACCAAAGTCTGCAAGGTGCTTGGCTATTACAGAAGTGGGAGGCTTTACAAAAATATACAGAGGTTAGGCTTTTGCTAAACCCTCCATCCGTTCCTGCCTTGGGACTGAGTTCCACGCCTTCCATGCCAAGTACCTTTCTACACAGAGATGAAAATATTCAGCTCTTTGGCAAATTGTCTTTAGGCCCAGAGCAAGTTTTCCAGGAGCAAAACCTCACCGTCAGAAAACGCTTGCAGGGGCAAACAGGAGGCAAAGGCAGTGTCAGCACAGTAAATCGTGCTTCTAAAGCCCCAGGGAGAGTCAGGGAACAGAGGCCCCTGCTCCCACCCGTCACTGCCCACGGAGAGGATCACCGGGTGGGACGTGGGGGAGGCACCGTCCTGCCCCCCCGTGGGCTGAACACACCCCGGGAAAGAGACCGAGGGGAAAGAGCAGTGTCTGGCCGAGAAGGAAAGGTCAAACACTTACGGACTGATTGTTTTAAGGATTCAGTGAAGCATTTATGAAGAGAAATAACTGTGACTGTCACGGTCTCGCCAGAAGTCACCTTAAATCCTGCTGAAACCCAAATGACCAGGAACAGCACGTGCAGCTGCGAGGTCTCTGCCCGCCTCTACTAGGGCTGGCCTGTGCACAGCCACTTCTTTAAAAAGCCCGTTTCTCCTTATGAATAGGCATGATCTGCTTATTAAGACAAGCAGCACTTTCCCCCATCCCTCCTCCCTCCCTCCCTCCCTTTGTGGTGACTGCAGCGGAGCTGCCTGCGCGCAGGGCTGGTAAGTTATGCATGCTGGAGCTGTTCTTTTGTGAAGGGGAGATGTTACAACTTGTGTGATTTGCCATCATGCTGTCTTTTGTGACAATCCCGAGATCGAGAGAAATGTCTGGAATATTTCTGGAAAAAAAAAAAATATCTGAAGTCCAAGAAAGGATTCAGCGGAGGATGTTGGTGTGCTGTACATCTGAGAGAAGAAAGAGAAATCACACACCCCAGTGCCCCCACCCCCAAAGCAAAACCATCCCTGTACGCACACAGGGATTTTATAAATCCCCAAGTCCCTTCTTCTGAAAATTTACTGCAAAACAGCCATCAAAGTTTCTGAGTAGGGAAAAAAAAAATCTTCTCTAATACCCACTAACAAGTCTGTGACCTGGATATCATGCAGAGACAACTTTGTTCAGAATTTCCACTGACGATGGAACCTGCAAGCGAAGTTAAAGTCTTGATACCAAGCACCAAATTTTGGGTTCCCCAGTTACTGCTTGCTCAGGAAAAGTGTCATTTTTTAATGAATTATTTTAAATAATATTTTACATTTTACAAAGAAAACACTGTTGCTCTAGAAGAGAAAATTCCGCTGTTCTCAAAAAAACCCAAGAAAAATATATTTGGCAATTAAAGACACATCATGGACGTATTTCACCTCTGAAGTGAAGCGCTCCTGTAAAAGCGTTCTTTGATTTAGGTCTTATCTTCTTAAAGTGAACAGTTTGAGTCTCTCCACATACTACTGAAATTCAGCAGTATTATTATTATGATAAGAATAATGATTGTCTACATATAAGACTCTAGGGGGAAAATATATTGGGAGTGAATTTGTTTACAGCACAATTAACCTTATGTTAAAAACATATGAACAAGTTTTGCAGGTCAAATAATCTACCGTACAAAAAGGGCTGAATTATCAGAATTTGTGCTAGCAATCGGATGTTGCTTTATGTACTGAATTTCTATCTTTCTGTTCTAAAGTAACCATTGGAATAATTTTCTTACAGAATGATAGTTGCTATGACAACCATAGCAAATTTTCCTTTTCTGAAACAGATGTCTCATTTAGTTGAAAATTAGAATGTGAAAAACCCATGGGAAAAATTAATTCAAACTTTAACAGAACACTGACTACAATGTAATCTCTTATAGGTTAACCCCTTAACATCTTTCTGCACTCTTATAGTAACCTTCTCATAAATTCTAATTAAACCAGTTTAACCTCCCAGGAACGACCTTCTTAGCTATCATTAGCGCTTTAGTTGCCTTTGAAAGGAGCATTTCTGTTACAATAATAACAGAAAAAAGTCAGACTAAAAAGAAGTGGTCAAACATATTACGGCCTTAATTATTTATTAGTTTTTCTTCTTCTATCCAGCTACTACTAGGAAGAGCTGCCATGTAGTCCAAGAATTCTTTTGTCATTTAAATGGGGCATAACTTAGTCTTACGTGTGATTTGCTGTAAAGGGTGGTGATGCACCACACGCATTTGACCTGTGATTTGTGTGAAAACTGAAGGTTTTCACTTTTCAAACCACCCGCTCAGCAGACACACAAAAGGGACACAAGAAAGGACTCTTGACTGGGGAAAACTCTCCATGTGCAGGATGTTTGTCACAAGCAACAGGGAGTGAAATCTGATTCTCCAGTGACTGGGTTTAAAGGTTTTAACTGAAAGAGGGATTCCTTCCCCTCGGTCACCCCCAGCCCACGGGGACCCTGCGCGGGGCCCGGCCACACCTGGTCGGGGGCTCCAGGAGCGCAGGGGGCAGCCAGGGGCACCCGGGGAAGCGCGTCCCCTCAGGGCAGGGCCCTGGGTGCCAGGGGTGTCGGCCACCACCAGCACTCCAGGGTTAGAGAGGCAGCTGCACCCCGGCTGCCCGCGGCCGCTCTGGCTGCAGGGAAAGCTCCGTGTCCGCCCAGACCCGCGGGTCCACGGCTGGCGAGGGGCCGCAGAG